ATTTGTTTTCAATATTCGGTATCCCAGAAGCCATTGTGTCCGACAGTGGTACTCAGTTTACATCTCATCATTCTGACGAATTCCTTCGAAAACACGGCATCACACACGTTACTTCTCCACCATTCCATCCCCAATCCAACGGTCAAGCTGAACAGTTCGTTGACACCTTTAGACTTGCGTTGACAAAGGCAGAAGAGGAGGGGACCACGACAAAAATGCTGGATACGTGCCTGCTGAATTATAGAGCAACCCCTAATCCACAGTCTTCGGACGGTCGCTCTCCAGCATAGGTTATGATGAACAGACGGTTGAGAATTACTCATGACGCTATCCTACTAACACTTACGTGTTAGATGGAAGACAACATTCAGGGTGTGCTTGTCAGGGACTTTCGTCAAGGGCACCGAAGATGGACTGTTGGAGTCGTCCTCAAAAGAATCGGTTAGGTGATTTACAGCGTCCATGTTGGATCATCGATATGGAAACGACATGTCAATCAATTACGGCCGACTGAGTGCCAGATCCCAAAGGCGGAAGAACAGTTACTAGACCTCAACCTACTGCTTGAAACCCTTGATCTCCAAAGACCAGCACATATAGCCACTGCTTCGTATGTGCCGCCCAAGATAAATCCATTGCTGCAACCGAGATGCCATCGCACCAGAAAAAGGGTGGAGCCTCTACAACTTAATCCGCGTCGAAAATCTTATGTTGAAAGGCCAAAGGGGGGAGGTATCAAGGTCAGCTTCCTGAAAGCAACCACCGAATGCCCGAAATCTACTGAGACTCTCAGCTCCGCTAGATGTTGACCAGACAGACAACACCCCATCAACACGCAGCGCGTCACAGCCTTGTATCAAACCCAAACAACGCGAGTCAGCGTTGATCAAGGTCAGACAACGCCTCCGCAATGTGCAGCACGTCACAGCCTCGTCAGCATTGGACTAAGTTCAGACAGTGTCCTTCCAATAAATAGCTTGAAACCGTTGTTCGGAATATAGCTGTTGTGTTCCCTTCTGAGCCTTTTTTCTCGGCAACTAGGCACTGGAGCGGATCAGCAGCAGATACCACAGATTGGCGAATCAGCAAATATAACAGTACCTTAGGTGAAAGTTATCATTAGTGGGTAGCATGAAAGGAAGTTGGTTTCATCTTGGCGACATCAGGAGTGCAGACACTTCATGAACAGCAAGATTGAAGTAAATGTCCTGGGGGGAATGCGAGAGAAAGTAATATCGCCCAACGAGTATTATGTCCATGCTTATTTTTCTATCCTATCAAGAATAAGGATCACCCAAGTTATTGATAATCAGTGGTGAAAGAGTGGGGCGAACAATTCCGGATATATACAGTGGATCGACCACACGAAGCTCCAGATTTATTCTGGGTACACTGTATGAAATCCATTTGATAGTAGGATGAAGGCAAGGAAGCGATATTAGGCAGTCCTATTAGTTGGAAAGCTGGATTTAACTCTTATCTTCTACAGAGAACTGTCACTGAAACTTAGTCCTTAACCTCTCTTGAGGTGCTTTGCTTCAGCGTATATGACACAGATCACTTATGTGTTGGCATCCAAAAATATAGTCCAAACCGTATTTTAGTTCTCATGATGAAGTACACTCTAGCTGTCAACCTCCGCGATCGTGGGGGTTCAGCTTCCTCTGCAGATTCAGCGGCTCATTCTAAAGATTCAAAGCCAAATTGAGACTTCGGAATTGGAACCTAGGCAGGATAGTTCGCCGGACATAGTGGATAGATGCTGTATGCTGATCAAGTGTGTTTCAGATGGAAATAAAGACTATTGTGTTCCAAACAGCGACATCGGCTAGCTGCTTGTTTCAGTATTTCAAAAGCAAATGATTTTTTTGTCCCAGGTGTATAATCTGAGGCAGTTCCGCCAGTGTGTGGTCAATGTACATAGTCCATTTTAGTTGAGAATGAAGATAAGGAACAAACATTAGTTACTTATTCATAGTTATCAGAAATTTCCTTTGCGATTTCAGCCACGAAGGCTTGTCGAAACTAAATTTCCTTACCATCACGTTTCGCCGAAACCCCAGCAAACAGGAGCATGGATATCAGTACGATTCTTTCAAGTACAGACCTGAAACAATGCCAGTTGATCGGTTATATTGACAACAAAGTGGTGCTTCTACGTTTGAGAGTAGATCAAGGCGGTAAAACAGGATGGCATATAATAGCAGTAGATCAGCATGCTGCACATGAAAGAATATTACTAGAACAGTTGGAATCTCAATGGGAAACAGTTGCTAAAACGAAAAATGACTCCACTGGTATCAGCACTGTGCGGTGTGCCGTAAAGTTTTATGGGCTCAGCGGAAAGTCACTGCGGCAATGCTATGAAAATCATCCAGACGCACTGAATTCCCTCAAATCATTCGGATTGGAGTTAGAACTCGACCCAAAGGATTCCACCTCGATTCGCGCCATAAGCATCCCGGAGATATTCACGAGGTCCGGGAATTTATGCACGCGAGCAGAAGCTGATGTCTTTAAATTCTTTAAAACGTTTGCCGAAAGCTACAAAATGGGAAGAAAGAAACTATTTAACCACCTACGGTAAGTACACCCTGAGAGCTTTACTTCGGGTCTGCGGATCAAGGATGACAGAAACGTGAATCCATGGGGGAGAGTATCTCACAGACATAACGTTGAGAAAGGTACAAAGGTGAAAGACCACAAAATTGACAGGAGTTGCTACTTTAAGATCGGTAAACAGTTGATGTGAAAATATGCTGAAATCATACCAATTCGTCTGGTGCTCCTCTGCACAACACAGGAAAACCTCTGCTTCCCTACGGGGAATTTCAAGGCTATTTCATCAAAAAAATCCCATATATTAACTATCGATTGCCATTCCGTTTCATTTATTCATACCTCTACGATGTACTAACCGAATAAACAGCAGTATCAATATTAATTTGGTAGGTGAAGTCACCGTCTTAGTTCAACACAACTCCGCGTGAATCAACTTCCATTCCAAACGGTCTTTGCACTTCTTGTGAGAGGAATACCACAGTATAGTCCTATCTTATACAGTGCTTCAGAAGCCTGGAAAGTAGAAACAGCAATCACTTAGGATCCTAACAAGACAGATTCACCTGTTTTCTGGCTCAAAAGGACAAAGACTGCGCTAGATGTAAGCTACGCAGACCAAATTTTTCCTGTTGTGATGATGCATGACGCCAGCATGTGGGCATGGTAGTAACTTAGTCTGTTTTGGTCCTTTATCCATCCGAACGAAAGAGTAAATGCTACTGGTTTACCTGTGAACCATTGTGAGTAGACTTACCAGTGAAGAAGGATATAATTTCCACCGAATTTTACACTTGTTCCTGTTTCATTTCAGTGAAGTGATTCACCCGCATTTACAGAAGCGTGCTTGCAACTCGGCTGTTCGGTTCGGAGATCCGCTTAAGGAATTTGAAATAAAAGAACTGATTCATCGCCTCTCAGACTGCCGTTTACCCTTTCAATGTGCACACGGTCGTCCGACCTGCGTCATATTGTCTACATTGTTCGATACATAAATTGATATTTGGACTCTTCACAGCTGAATGCTGTCACTACTAACAGTCGGCATCACGGGATTCGGCAACTGGACGGACAAGACCTCTGCCATAGATGTATGTAAACTCTTCGACAGTCAGCTCATGAGTAGTGTATTACTTCTACGTGTCACGATATTTCGAATGCCGTGCCAAATGGAACATGAGGCGACTTGGTGCAGCGCATTCAGTTGCTTAGAAACACCATACACGAGATTCAACTGTATTCCAGGTGAGTCTCCCGCCAAAACCTAATTGGCATGCAAACGAGTGTACTTTACCTAAGACCTCCGCTACTTCGAGTAGATGTTACGCGAAGTTTTGCGAGCCAAATTTACCATATCCTAAGAGGAACAAAAAGCCAAGCCAGTGTCGAAGCGGTGTCACACAGATAAGTATATCGGACGAACGCAAGTAAACGACGACCAGGCGCTAGAATGGAACACAGACTAGCAGCTTTTAAAAGCCAGTCAAACACACGTACACTCCAAGGGAAGCAGAATTGAGCTGACAGGGTGTGAGGAGCATGCCCCTAAGAGCGATTCCCTCAAACAAAACATTAAAAGGCGAGGCAAATTGCAACTCACAAGCATGTTGAGCAAGGGGGATAAACTGAGCCAAACAACGACCGCTTAGCTGGTGTTTTTCTAGAACCCAACCCCTAAAACGCACACTAGCTGACGTACCCTCAGGTTCATCAGACCATTGTTGGGTTCTGGCCAGGGATCTCTACACAGAAAAGCCACAATTTATTGACGAGGACCTCCACAGTCCGTGGCCACGCAACAAGCCGACCGGCTGCAAATTTATAGGAATGCGTTGCGACCGGTGAAGCAAACGGTCCCCTGGAACGTGAAGTACGTGACTTAACCAAGGTATAAGGCCGGGCTGTAATGGGTGCGGATCATCCCGAAGGCGACATGAGGGACACAACAATAGGGATCAGATGCATCTAGAAAGCACAAGTAATGATCCTGTTCGGCGGCGGTCGTACTCAAAGGCTCCGTTTATCTTCGATTGGTACTGGTCATACCACTGATTCATGAAATAAGAAGCCATCATGCTGGCACAAATTTCCTGACTCATCCACTGAGAAGAATTCTCCTTTCGTTGCTCGACCGCAGCATCCAGGTTTAGCCACCTAGGTGATTTTCTGCAGTATTTCAGTAGCGGCCTGCAGTGCATAAATGTGCCAAGCATATAGGCAGATTAGCTTTCGAGAACCAGTCATACGTTCGGCGTAATTAAAAGTTTTCGCGTAAAACCAGACGCTTTCAAGTGTTAAAGACTTCCGATTTACCGATCGCTCCCAAAACAGTGTCTGTGTTGGTTCCACAGACCCTGTATTTGATGAGGGGAATTTAGTTTTGCAGCATGGAATTAGACTAGTTGAAAACCGAGTATTGCACAGTCGTCGTATTGCAGCTCAGAACAGCACATCCCTAGAGCGGTCCGAAAATTCTGCTTTCGACTGGCAGATTAGTGTTGTATCATTCAGCTACTGGCCAGTAGACAATTATATGATCAATCTGAACTCACACCATATACGGCCACCGACCTCCACTCAGGCAGTGATGTGACAAACTTAGTCACTGGCACGACTAAACACATGTCCGAAACCTTGCAACCGCCTCACTACCTGGTGAATGAAAAATCTACTCTGAATGGGCGGGGGACAAGTTGGATCGAACTTCTGCTTGAGCAGCGTAGATGATAATTCTCTGGGACTGGAATACGTTGATCCTAGACGAGTTGTCCACAGTACACTAGTGAGAAGGACGAAAGACTAGGAATGTTCAAAACTAGCTACCTACGGACAGCCCTAAACTTCGGAATGACTGGCCCAAAAGCCAACCGTATCAAAGAACGATCAGCAACCTGAATCTAACTGAAGGCCCAACCCATTGTTCAATACACAAACAACACAAGACATTTCTGATTATTATATAAGAATATACATGACAACTGTGTACAGTAATCACTAGTCAGTCAAATGAGGTTTTTGATGTTTTCGGAGAGGATAAAGGTGTTGTAGCTTTTGCCAGACTGTTGGGGTAAATATTGCACATACTTGTAACCGTTGTGGGTCAACTGGATCGGCCATCACATTGGTTACCATTGCGTTGGAGTATATCCATCTACGCAAAAGAACATATAAAGTTTCGTAGTTTTCACGAATACACCGGCGAAGGCAAGTTAAGATTAGTTCAAAGCCAAAATTTCATCTGCGAAATTTGCGGGAAAGCGGACACTCATACTGTTACTGGGAAGGATACAGTACGTGAACTTAGGGAGAATGTGATACCAAAATGCAGCAATTCGACAAACAGCACTGGATGATGACAGTGGTAGTCGGAACCAACACACTGGCACGTTAGACACACTGCCCTATGATAAGAACCCATCAAATCGGCAAGATCGACATCGCGTTATTTTGAAACACACCGACTGTTACCTGTGGGGTTATGCATCAGTGAATAACACCCACACGTGGAGAGAGCAACCTCTTGGATAATCAGCTGTTATTCCTACCCGCGCTTCACTCCTCAGATAGAACCTGTTGGTATGTGAAGCACGAAGGCATTCAAATTACAGCAGCAAAATGCAGCTCACCCTTAGTGGGGTTCATTAAATTCAAGCATCAAAAGCAACCTCCTCAAATCATTGAAGGAAAAAATCGAGTGAATAGGGAAGGGCCACCTAAACTACCGTTTCAGATTCCAAAAGTAATTCAGCCCTATTGAATAATGCACCGGTGGTCATGATCAACCGTTGGGCGATCAGAGTGCGCGGTTTTTAGGGCCCACCTTTTCTAACCCGTCCTTTCTTGGGGGAAGACAGCATCATTGCTTCCATGAATATGGACATGCTGGTCGTCTGGGGGAAACATCTTACGTTCTTCACACTCCTGTCGTAGACCGCTTCGTAAAACGATTAGTCGCAGTACGAGGTATCACTGCTCTTGGTCTGGCGGCTCCCATTTGGCCTTCCAGGCATGGTTGCACCTTGTGGAACAAAGTTCCAGCCTGTGTAGCCCGCGTTATCATTGCAACACTCAAACCTGACCACGAAGTAAAAGTGGCAGCTTTAGGTGGGGCCTTCATGAAGATGGTCAAAAAAGGGACTTCCACTTTCTGTCTTTCACAATTCCTTGAAGCTTTCTCTTTAGATTATAAGTTACCAGACATAAAACATTCTGTGTATATTCACTTTTGTGTCTCAAATTGTTTCACCCTCTGGCTTTAGCACCTATCCGTTCTTGTAATTTTACAAGAGAAATATTTTTTAAACTCTGGAATGGTCACTGTGCCACCGTTTGGCAAATTTATTGCCTCATGGTTTTAGAAGCACATTGCGTCATATTGCGCTGACTCAATGTGACAAGTGTGACCAAGTGCAAAAGAGCTGGTTACCAGATGAACATCAATCATGCTGTACGGTGTCGTTTGTGAGTATTTTCCCACATGCTTCCCTCACCCATTACCGGTGAATCAAAATGATATTAGTGCGTTTGAAGTATAAAGCTTCATGATAGCTCGTTGGAACTGAACCTTTGAAAGGTCCGAAAGAGAAGATCCACTGCGGAGTTTAGATTTGTTTATCGCCGTATCCACCATGCCACAGAACATCGCAAAGCAAGGCAAGTTCGCGAAACCCAGATCCATTGTGTACTAATCAGATAAAATGAAATCACACAGTGACGTAGCCCTGGAAGACGCAAAGACGCTCGAAATACTAGGAAGTAAGTGTAGCCATCCTGAGGATATTAAAACGTCGTCTCCAACAATGAACGTAACGACCAGGTTTGTGGAACAGATACGGTTATATGAAATGCATGCCGCATGCAAGTAAAGCGTGACCCGCACATTCACCGTTCCGAGTTTTCAGAGCGAAATCATCATCACACTTTTGACTCTAGTCCTATGAAGTAGAGTTAAGATAAGGAAACGAGATACTCTGTGTTTTCTTACGTATAGTTACACAACGGGATGTACCCCGCACATAAGAACCCCCCCCCCCCCCCCCATGAATAGTCATTTTCGAGGGGTTTCACTATCTGGCAAATTTATGGATTCAGAAATGGGATTCAGACCAGACACAGATACGGCAACCGTAAACAGAGGTTACCGATTCCAGTGGGTTCGAGTTATCCGCCGCTGGCCATAAGATGAAACCGAACTGCAGGACTTGTATAGGGTAAATAACCAGGGAAAATTCGTTTGAAAAAATATGCACCTTGGGGAAAAGAAATGTAGTTTAGAATGTGACGCCATCACAAAAATAACGAAGACAACAAACAAAACTTACTGCAACGCTGGACTGCCTTGGGACATAGTGATTGTCCGCTGAAACCAACCCAAATGTTCAATCAACTGATCTTTTATAAGACTAGTAAGCTCATCGAGGCCAGTCCATTGGTTAGCGGAAACCAGCACGTCCAATTTTTGTCTGTTCTTCTCGTTCACATAGCGTAAGCTTCGAAAAGGAAGAGTAAAAATACCGAGGTGCCTTTATTTTGTCATTTTGATGGACTGCATTACCAACATGAGCAAACCATAATTCAGTAGTCCTATCATTTCATGTGGATGGTGGATTGTTAAACAAAACTTTATTTTCTGAACATATTATGGTGAACTACTCTCCTAACTACAGTACTGGTTCGGAACAAGGTCGAAACGGAAGCCGTATGCAATAAATAAAATGGTCCCTTGGCGAAACTTACCCAAGATCTATCTTATTTCCAATGCGAATGAGGACTGGGGGGTTGGACATCATACGTTGATTGCGTTGTATAGCTAAATCCGAATCGGATGCTGGGCAAACGGTGCCTTCAATATTCCGGCGAGGAACACCTGAATGTGACAATACGTTATCCACATGAGCAGCCCGCCTCTCCCAGTCCTCTTCACTAACGTCAATGACATGAAGGATAAGATCCTGAAGAAGATTGGACGAAAAAAATACTGGAAGTTCAAAATATTTGGGTAGAGCATCAGATGTATTCAGGTATATTATAAGTGAAATCACTTCTCACTATTGGACAGAGCCACAGTAACTGGAATCCACATAGGTCACCTATTAAGGTTGTATTAACCTCAAAGCCAAACACTAAAAGTAGACATGAATATCACAAACATGCGTGACTCGATATCCACTTCGTAGCCGAATGTTTAGTGTTCACTCAGTCACAAAATTAGCACACCACTTTGATTTCCAGTCTGTGGTGCTCGTAATCGAAAGGAACATGCTAGAATAAACAAACATAAAGCCAGCGCATTTAAACTAAACTTTGCAGTCACTTCAAGAGGACAAGAAAATACAACTTAAAAAAACGGCAGACTTGGATCAGATATTGATATTGCTAGTCACAAATATGATAATTGTTGACACTGCCATGCCGATTCACCCAATAATCAAGTTCGCTCTGCTGTTCACAAAATAATTTGAAAAACATGGATTGCTTGCGTGACGAAACAAAACAGGGGGGCTTTGTGCACACGTCTAACAACCCAGGTAGCCACTGAAATATCCTGTATTAATTTCTATTTAGGAGGTAATACGAGGACTAAAAATGCGCTTCTGCAGAATCAGCAGATATGCTTTCGATACATTCTCACAGTAAAAACTATAATTTCTTCGTCAAGTTCGAATGAAGGATGACCTATCCGAAATCTCACCGAAAGCATACGTAAAGTGGAGAGTTCAAGAGTTGCACTCTACCCCTACCTGAGCGGAGAAGCTTACCGTATCCAGACATTCCTCCAGGGTCGCACGGAAGGCAGTAATTAGGTTAGTAGGTAAATCGGCCATAAATCCAATAGTGTCTAACAACAGGAAACGAATGCCAGGAAGACTCGTCCCATTTTTATTGAAGGCATCTTGACTAGCTTCGGGCAGAGTATTTTGGATCCCCGACGTAGTAGGTAGCCGAGCCCGGTGGTGCGTGACATCCAAAGTGGCAAACACTTGGGGTGATGAACAAGCCTTGGTACTCCCACTCAAGCAACGAATTAGGCTGGTCTTCCCTAAAACAGCAGCAAAACACGTAATCCATCGAAATATAAGTGTACTGATAACTTATGGCATTGGATAACTCGCTGGCATAAACCTAACAAAACCAGCTCACCTGCATTTGTATAGCCTACGACAGTGACCACAGGGAGCTCGTGAACGCGTTTGGCACGACGCTGTTGCCTCGCTAGTTGACGTCGCCTCTCAACTTCTGAAAGCTCTGCTAGCAGATGGGCTTCCTTCTCCTATGGATTTGAAAACAGAGTAGTATGCAAAACAAGCCCTCCTATTGGGAGAACCATTTGTTTAGAAACGATGTAAGGGAATATAAGAAACGCTCACTCTCAATAAACGATCCAACTGTTGCGCACTCATATCATCGTACAATGCGGTGTTGGGTGTACCACTGGATGAGGTGAATAGAGCGGGAAGACGGGCACGTAACAGGGACAGTTCAGCCAACTGTGCTTGGATCCGAGCTTCTTGAGACCGAGCTCTTGAGATGAAGAGTTGGACAACCAATGTGTACCTACGACAAATGAAAACTTCTTACAACAGACAAGGTGACAGTCGGATAAAAGTGGACGTAACAAAAAAGCCCACAAAAGTTTCGCTTCTAACCTTGGCTAGAAATATGGTCACTCTCAATATGAAGGCTATCCCCAGTAAATTCTAAGTAGTTCTTGTGTGGGCGTGGTCTTTATATGGAAGAAACATAGTTTCGTTCAAACTCGTTTGATGTTGTTACGGTCACCCATTTTGAGAGAAATGCTGTTCTCTGACACGCACTTACACGTCATTTTTTATGTCAGCCATATAAGGGAACTTTGCCTGCTTGCGAAGAACACTTCACTCCGGGAAAATGTTGGCCAGTAATGCTCTAAATAGGTAGCATTTACCGGCGGTACATTTAAGAGCGAAGACAAACATTTTGAATACAAACACTGCAACGAACTGAACCGAAACTCCAACAACTCAGTCGATAGGATAAAAGACAGCATTGAAATTCATCGTTTTTTCTTGAATTAAGTTCTGATGGGACCTATTCTACTGACGTTCAAGAAGCCTGTTTGTTTGTTTTTAAACATGCTGATACATCCTTAACTGACAGTCTTTTCATCCAGTTGAATGAATTTGATGGGGTTTCCCAGTGAAGCAGGAATCGGGGCTGCAAGTTACCAAATGACTGCGATCCGCAGTCATAGACGTCAGGCACACTGCACCACAGTGGTCAACCACCTAGTACACTGAGCTCAAACTGGTGAAGATTCAAACTTACCGACCGGGATGTCAGTGGTTTGAACCCGACTCCGGAATCTCGACTGCACCTGTCTAGGCTTGAGCAACCTGGTACTACCTTAGACCTCGTGCTTCCTTCGGGTGGAGTGGCAACTAGATACCAGACTAGGTACCGAAATAGTGTTAAGGACGATCGATTACTAGTAGTATTACCTAGTCCAGTAAGGCAGCGGAATGTTATTTTTTTATTTACTCGGCCACCCTACTAAAGTGCTTCCGTTTCGAGCAAGCCTGAATACGGTGTGACTCGAGGTTGGTTCAATTTGGCCTTCAATAAATGAGTAGTCGTTTGACAGAGAGCCAACATGGAGACGGTTGCCACATGTCATCCGCATTTCGACATCGGCGTAATTTCCACCTGTATTTTATACAGGTCGATAAACATTAAGACTATACCTTCCCTGTAGTTTCACATTCATGCAATGAAAATCACTACAGTGGAAGACAAATCCGAATGAAAGCAAAGCAGAGGCGAGAATTCGGGTGGATGAAACATACAATCAACCGCTAATGTGAAGGTCGCCGTGCAAAACACTCGAGTAAAACGTTATAAAAAAGGACAAATTTGTTGTTCACGGTGGAAGTATAATCACCCTAAGAACTAGTTCTTGCATTTAAATGTTTAGTAGAAAGGCGTCCCATAGGACATTCTTCCGTGACTACTGAATGAAATGACGGCCTCATCACACTAAAGCTCCACGCAGAAAGCCTGTCACCAAACGATAACTGACCGATGACCCCAAGACAATCATGGCGACCTCGAATGAAGGGTTGGAAGTTGACGGGAAAAAGTGTGGAACACTCACAATTTCAAGGAAGGGTGGGATAAATAATGGGATTACACCTTCTGCCCTACCCTCCGAATGGCTTACCGATCGTATACTGGGAGGGACCATGCGTTCCGCATTGTGACAACCTGTAGTGTGCTCAGTCGAGGCCAGTTAACAAAAACAGCCGTTGCTATGGGGTGTTCTTTACCACTAGCATGGATAGATGTGATGGATATTCCCGTCTTTTGTTCCTGGTTAGGATCTTGTTGTTCAGAACGATAAGACTCGACGGCTTTGGTGACTTCCTCCCAAACACCTTTAGTGAAGAAGTGCTTACGATTCCCGTGAACCATTCCGCGTAAGGCGAAGGAAACCTACAGGGGAAAAATAATCAAAATTAGCAAAGCCAAAAGCAGTAGATGGAGATTGTGTAGCCATACTATAGTACATGAAGGAACGCAAATATGGGATCATCCCAAGTACTAACGGCCTTACTCGGTTCGACAAAGCTTGCACTCTTGAAGAAGCCAGTGCTTCAAGGCACACGAGACAAACATTTTCACATATGCAGTTTACAAAACCACAAAGGAAAACTGAACTGCTCAGATACGAAAGGCACCCGTAATTCCAGGAACTTCAGGAAGGCAACCGGAAAGAAGACGGGTTTTCAGCCTTAGGTCTTGCAGTATTAAAGCGCGATACTCTGTACATCTGGAATATCTCTTAAACTCACCGCTCTCATGTGGAACTTATATGGCTAACAATGCTGTGTCGCCTGAACTCTGAGCAGCACAGCTAAGAGGACACATGAGAACTCAAACAACAACTTCCGATCAAGCGTTTGCAGTTTAACCTCAGTTTAATAATACAACCGGACCAAGGCTTCACTACCATCTTTTTCATCAAGGGGTTTTCGGCTCACAAAGGAGATGATGACTGTAAAGTTAGCCCGTGATGTTAGCTAAAACTATCGTTCAGCTGTAGCACCCTTTCGGCGCCTAACTGCCATGCCACCCATAGGAGGCACGAGGGCTGGGATACTATGAAATACCACATTCACAAATAAATTCCAGATTTTGTGCAATTTGGTTTCAAGTAGAACATAAGGTTGACGGAAACCCGGGGACTGTGCCTACCTGGTGAGCCCCAAATAGGGCGAAAACGGCCGTGGGCTGTCGACGGGCTTTCAGCAACCTTATGAGTAGTACATTACAAAAATTCCAAACAAATTGAAGACGACGAAGAAGTAAGCCGTCGGTATTGATGAGGCACGATGAGTACGAAACGTCAGTCAGGAATCGCAGAGAGTTTGCAAGCTATTATGAAGAAGCCAAAAAAGTGGCGAACTGAGAAGTACGAATGTAATTTTCAAGGACCGAAAACCAACCA